CCCTCAGCCAGGGTCAACCCACCACATTGTTTAAAGCTTTATTATTTATTAGTTTTATAATCGTTTCTACTTTTAAGTTCTGAAGGTGTTCAATTTAGAAATGCAGACTTAACTTCAGCTTTTGTATACATACTACTACACTTTTCCACAATCATAAATTTGAAGTGGAAAGCAAACTTATTTGAAGTTTGCTGGAAGGCATTTCATGCCCTAACAGTTCCACAATCAAGATACTCTCTTCTTAGAGCTTTTCAAGCAAAAGCATTATAAAACAACATTTACGTGTTCAGCCCAAACATCAAAACAAAAATTATGTTCTTACAAGTAGGCTGGTTTGGTTTGTTTTTTTTTACTCTACTCAATGTCCATACCAACTGTTATAATGATCCACCGCATGTTTCTGGCCTGTGTCCACTAGCATTCTTCCCAAACAATTCCCAGGAGAAATAACAAGAGTTCTGTCTTTCAAGGAACAATTCCCTATAGGCAATAGATGCAGCTATACCATTCAGGAGGCTCAAAAAAAGGCTTACCAGCCACAACAGAGGCTCGTTTCGTGCCAGTTGTGATTCCTGGGCATGTTCTCAGGCACAATTAGTAGAATAACCACCAAAAGGCATCAACACTTCCAAAGGAAGGGGCAAGAGCAGGCACAGAGCCTTCTGAGCAAATTGTGTACACGGTAACCCTAAAATTTCAGTCTAAGATGTCAGAAAAGACTTCTGATATTAGGTGGGGGACAAAATTTCTATGGGAAGTCTCGGAAAATACTGTGAATCCCCAACCCTGCTTTTAGTTCTTTTTCTCCTCTCTTGTTCACTAACAACCACGAATCTGGAAGATATAAGCATCTAAGTCTCCTGCATATTTTTTCATAAAGTGCTGGGTAATAAAACTTACCAGTCACAAGCAACAATAAAATCATATAGATGCAAACTTATGTCAGAAAAAGAACAAACAACCCACACAAAAAAGAAAAAAAACAGTAACTTTTTCAAAAGTCTTGTCCTCCTAAAACATTTAGTTTTGTTTCAAACTTCAGAGCAGTAACCGTTTAAAAAACGCCTGCATTTGTAGCACATCTCCGCATGAGTGAATGATTTAATGACGTTTCATGATTCACTGTTCGAGGACCGCATCCAGACACATCTCCTGTATTTAACACTTATTATTTATAAAATTTCAATTCCTCCCTGTAATGCCTTGGTTTTTTAAAATAATTTTGAGGCAGATCAGTGAAAACACGTTAGAATCAGACTGAGGTCAAAACAATGCACTAACCCTTAATTTCATTCTGGCTTTCTTCTCTTTTCCTTTCAAGTTCTTTTCGATCATAATTCAGTCGTCGTAGGCACATAATTCCACACTGAAAACTGTTTCTGTTTAGAAAAGAAACAGAAAGTTTAGACTTAAAGGAAATATTTACTGTAAGTTATGTCTCCAACTTAAATCTATTTACCTGTGAAAGCTGTCCACCATTTTAAGTTGCCCACGCAGATCTTTTTTAGTTAAATGATCCAGCATTCGAGCATCAACAAGACATTCCATGAAATAGCTGCGATACTGAGGGAGCCCCAGACTAGGGAGCCATTCGTTGCCAATCCACTCATGGTTCATATCACCATATGCTAATGTCTGTTTTTAAAAGATTAAGGAATAAGCTTATTAAAATGAGAAGTAAAGAGAAAAGCTTTTTTAGACAACATATTTTGAAGAAAAAAAAATAAAGTAATGCTTACTTAATTCTTATCCTGTAAAGTCAGGCATATAAAAATATTGGATACTATATGTATGTTTTCTGAAGAAGTCATCCTCATGAAGAAAAGCAAGTTTAGGTACTCAGAGCGGCAAGTAAAACTGCCTTAATTTATTTCATGTTGAAGAGTACACAAAATACACAAAACCTAATAAAAACAAAAAAGACTAATCTATATGGTTTTGATAGCAAGAGCCATAGAATTTCATTTTTACAGGATGCTGAAAAATATTGTATCTCTTGAAAATTGGGGTGGGGCAGGAATCTTATTTTTCACGTGACCATATAAATACAAGATATCAAAAAAATAACTGCAGGAGTTTTTTCGATACACTTAACTGTTTTCAGAACTGATCTAAATCAAGTAAGCAAAAAGTAGTAAAGCGGTAAAAACCCACTACTGAAGAACAACAGATTCTCAATGGTAGTCCCTATCCTAAAAAAACAACCCCAAAAGCAAAAAGAAAATCAAGAAACACCCCAAAGCCTGACTGCCCTCACTGCATTTTTTAACCTGCAAATCACAATGCACTTTTTGGAGACAACTTCTAAAAAGAAGAGCATTTGTATTTAGGCATTTAATCATTCCTAGAGCAACAAAAACCAGCAGCTCTTTTTTTCAGAAGTCAAGGCTAATAATTCATTTTTGCTGTACAATTAAAAGTGGAAAGCTTTATTTCTCCTCTAGAAGAAGCATCTTCCAGAAAGGAGCAATGCCACACAAAACGCATTTCTTCAAGCCATCGCTAGGTAGCAGACTCTTGTAACAGGGAGGCAAGCTATGATTGTTATCATTAAGAATCTGCAAATGAGTATCTGAGACATAGTTAACGGGACTTAAAACAGTTTTAAGCTGGAGGGCAGCCAAGCAAGAAGAGACTATACCGTCCAAAGATATGGGTCACAGGCAAATCCTGAGTTTTGTTTATATCCCTGTATAAAAATACTCAACTATCTCAATGCCTGAAAATACAATTAGGATTTGTCATCACTTTAAGGGAAAACAATTAATCAAGGAGGATTATAGAATTAGTGCACAGAAATCTACTTAACTATCGAGGCTCACTATGTCTTGTAGCACACCTGTGCTGGTGGCCAGGTTGAACAGTGGCTTTCTGCACACAGCAGATATTCTTGCTGGACTTCTGCCTTCTCCCACCAAAACATGCCATGCTTTATGTCATGAAATTATTTTAAAAATTGATCTAGTATGTTCAATGCATAGAATACAGCAATGCTTACTAAGGAAGAGTAACTATGTTTTGGTGATTCATAAGCTAGAGGATAAATATTTTAGAAAGCTAATGACAACAAAGACTTCTGAATATTCTTCCCCTAACAGCCCTATTATTAAAAATCCTTATGCATAGGGGTTTTTGTGATGTAACAAAGTACTATACAAAATTTCAATGATGAACCACCAACTCTTGGAAGTTCTAGAAAACATTCAAATATTTAAATCACCTAAATATATAAGTTTATCATCCAAGTATATATTATACAGAGATAAGCCTGTAGTTTCCCCCTCTCCCAATCCCCAAGCCGCACCAAAAGTCACTAAAAGATACTGCTATAAAGGAAAAACAAATACTTTCATGCTCTAATTATTGTGACAGTTTACATATAGTCTGTAATATTACATAAAGTTTCCAACCTGAGCCCAGCTTCCCTCCTCATCTTCCTGTTACGTGGTTAGAAAAGCAAAAGAACACATATGTATTAGTATTTAAGTTTAGTAAGGAGATCAAAGTTAAAGATGCACTGCAAGACTAATCTACTGCATACAAAAAAAAATCTAGATAAAGCGAGCATCATGCATTGTAAAAAAATATACAAGGCACTCATTTTTGTATGAGAGGTTGCAAAACTTATCTACTGATTAAGTTTTCTTGAGAGAAGAAATTTCCACACAAATAATCTGTCTATTAGTTAATCAAATCAGAGCTCCATTTTATAGATTAGAAATAGTTGGGGGGTTTTGTTTGGTTGGTTTTTTTGTTTGTTTGGGTTTTTTTTGGGGGGGTGGTTTGTTTGTTTTTACAACCAGTGTTGATTTTTCCCCCCCTTCTAGAGGAAAAGATATCAAGATGCAGGTTACAAGGTTAATAGTTAGAAGAAACAATGATCCAGAATTTTAATGCATTAATTTGGAAAAAGAAAAAAGAAAAGAGACAGACCAAAAGGCACTTGATTCAAATGTTCAAAAAGTGTGAAAAGCACTCTAAGGAAAAGAAGTGGCAACACTATAAACTAACCGTTTGTTGTGTGGCTGTAAGATTTTCCATTTCTTCATGTGTTACCCAGACATTTCCCGTGGTCTAATATGACCCCAGAGGGAACCAGTCCCATCCAGTGAAAGGAAAGCAGTAACAAAGAGGAGAGGTTGCAGAACATATAAGCAATCGGTACACGTAAGGAGCAGGCATGGGCAAAAGCAATGGTTTCTAAAGTCTTAAGAATAGGTATATCTATTGAAAGTAATGGCATGGAATAAAAGCCTTTTAACAGGGATCACTTTTCTTCAAAGATATTAACAAAACTGAATGCGATAAATAGCTTACACTGATGTAATTCATGGGTAAACACTTGACTCTGCTCTAATTTGAAAAATGCTTTTGTAGTCTAGTAAGCAATCCTAGGAATCTCAGAAATAACTTTAGATTGTAGGGCAGACTCATTAAAGAGAATTTAAGCTAACTTTAAGTGTCTAAATTTACTGTAGTGTAGAGAGACAGATGGACTCCTAGTTTCTGTAGGCTGAACCATTATTTGGAGTTAATGGCCTTATGCATGGATTAATGTATGTGAAATTTTACAAATTTCTGTACACACATGTATACTTCATCTGTATTATAAATTCTTCTGAGGCCAAAAGATGAGGCAAATAACATGTACTCTAAATATTTTGAATTATATACTTAACACTGATGTAAACTTCTCTTTCTCTAAAGAGAAGTTTCATTTAATTTCCATGAAAGGAAGAAACATCCTATATTTAAATAATGTGGTCCTCTACAATTTAATGTTTCCAGAAATTCTTATTTGAAGCTTGAATCTTTTCAGTTACATGTTTACAGTAGAATTTTTGGAAATTCTAATGGTTCTAGAAGACATTTAATGCTGGATCACTTTCCTTACCGTCCTTGACGTGGGAGGGGCAGATGGACTTGTTAGTGACATGATTTCTTGAATGGCCAGCCTCAGCTTCAGTCTGTGCAGAGGATTACTAATTCCAATTTCACGCTGTATTTCTGTATCAGACAAGGCTGACATGATAGCACCGCTTTTCACATTTGCTCGGCAGGCAGCCACATACCAGGCTGGCATCCCAACCCATAGCTGAAACACAAAAAAAGGGGAAGTAAGCAGGATTTGGAAAACATTCCAGGCTCCAAAACTTTAAATTCTTTAGAAGTCTGCACACTGAGGGGGGTTATTTTTATTTATTTTGGAGGGACCACTTACCTCCAACCACACAACCACAGTAGGTCCATCCCACTGTGCAAAAGGCAAACCTTGTCTTCTGGCTTCCTCCAGCAACTCATGCCTACAATTACAGAAATGGTTATTAAAAACAAAGAGAAATTACTTGTAACTAGATGTTACCATTTAAACACTGCATTCAGATTACTATCTTCTTTCCAATAGTTAGCTTTCTTCCTTTCTCAGCCTTACAAGATATACCCACAGCACACATACAAGGACTACATAGCGACATAAGCTGAACATAATGGGAAATCCCGGAGTGGCAGAGATGCTGGATCTTGCCTTTCAGAAATTTGTGTCTGAAACTGCTGCTGACACTCTAACCCACACTGCCAACAGAAAGTGGAGATGTCAAACTCATTTGTCAGTCAGATTCTCAATTGCTGCAATTTTCTGTTCAGCAAATTAGACTGAACCAAAGTAGTCATTTTTCCTCCACATGCAGATCTGAAACCTGTGGAAATGTATGAGTACATCAGATACCCATGCCATCAACACAGTACTATCAATTAGGCTGGAAACTGGGACAGTAACCATTTAATTGGCAAATTTTAGTCCGCAACAGCAAGCCTGTCAGAATTTCAGGCATCGCTTCAGACAGCCATTATATTCAGCGAGCCACGCTTTGGCAATTATATTCTGAAAGGCTGGGTACTGAAACTCAGCTTTCATCTCCTGTGATGACACCATTTCCTTTGTTATACTGAAACAGAAGAGACTGAAGTTTAACATTGACAATTCAGCTTACAGAAACAACGGAAGCTCACAAGATCCCTATAAATAGCTGCCAAAAATGTTTGATAAACCAAAAGAAAAACTAGTGTTGCTGGTATAAGAATGCAATGTTGCTTGGATACGCCCATCTGAAAAAAAAATAGACAAAGTCTGAAAAAAGCATATTTAAGCTGCCTTTGAAAGCTAGTTATATATAGTTAAGTTTCCACTCACTCTCCTCTGAAGTTTAAAAAAGTTTCACCTAATTGGACAGTTTTTACCGTTTTATGCTTTTTATTCACGCCTGCAGGTGTAGAATTAAGATAAGCAGCAATACTGCAGATTCACGTTACGTACTTATAATCTTCCCACAATTTAAAACAAACAAAATCTCCTCGCCTTCAGAACTGTATCGTTGAATACATCCAAGATAAAATATTTAAAAGCTACAGATATTAAAAAAACCACTACACAAGACATCTTGAAAAGGGGTTACTGAGAGAGTAGTAGTTTTCTTTGTTACTAGTGCAGAATGGATGTGTGGTATCCAGCTCTTTTAGACATGCCAGCATACCTGGGATCCTCATGTTATATTGGTAGATAGCTAAATATCAAAAATAATCAATGAAGTAGTAAATATACTAGCAACTGTTTTATCAGTAGATACTAATTCTCGACCTGCAAGTCAATAAATTCCTGTTACGCTAAAAAAGAACCTCCCAATACTTTATCCTAATTAAATGTGCTGCCTGGGATTGAAAAAAAAAGGGGGGGGGGAAGGAAGGAACTGCCAGATAACTGGTTACAAATAACCATTCGAAGACCCAACAATTAAGGCGGAAATGGTGTTGAGCAGTTAGCATAGCTAGATTTCACTAACAAACACTACAGTAAAAGTTAATACATATTTGTACACTTCAAAAAGATACATGTATTTCTGAATTAGGAATGAAGGATCAGCTATTTTCCTGCTACCACATAACATTAATCCCACAAACCACTAGCCATGAACACATTCAGTTTGGCTTCACTTGTTTAAAGATTAAAAAAAGAGAAAAATAAATTAAGAAGATGATATCAAGTACTGTTTGGTAAGAACAGAATAAAACGCTTAATACTGTATTTGCCATAAAAGGAATATGATTTTTTTCCAAGTAGTTTAACTTCAAAATTGGTGTCTGTCTTCCTTTTTGGTGGTTGTGGTAAGACAACCATGCAGAGAGGGAGGTCCATGAGCGACGGAAGAGCACAGATGTGCCCAAGGCAGCCTCCAATTTGACTAGGATGACCCCACGAAAGTGTGTGATCCCTCCCTCCCCCCAGCTCATAAAGCTGCTTGGGGTATTGTATGGAATTCAAAGAACTGCAGTGTAATTTCTGCTAGTATTGTCTCTCCCTGTGTAGTATCAAGTTAACCATGAAACAGCAAATCATCTGGAGATGCACGGTACAGGGAATGTATCAAAAGCATAAGGAGAGGCTATGATGCAAACTTTAAACTCATGGTGGTACTGTATGCAGAAACAATTGTGCTGCTGAAAGGAAGTGTTACATGATGGAGGCAAACATGTAGAAATAGAAACAAACCAACCAAAAGTGTTTATGAGATACCTTTATGCAGAAATTATTTAATGGATCCAAAGAGGAATGCATCCATGAAGTACAAAATGAATTGTGAAATTTGTTCACGTGCAAGAAGAGATAGAAACTTGCTTGCACGGGAAATCATTAAACTGAAAGCTCAACATCTCATGGGATGAATTCAAAGGCAGCTGCTGTTTTGTCTGCAAATGATGCATCAATGGTTTTTTTCCTATAGCAGAAGAACTTCACTTTTCCAACAATTGCCCTCCAACTTCACCAAGAAACTCGCTGCATTCCAGCAATACGTAATCAGATTAAAGATCACAGCAGACACGCCAGTTTAGTTTCACAGGCCATCCAATTATACCATTCAGTAAGTGGGTGCAAAATCCAGCTTCGTGCCTTTGTGAGGAAAAAAATAATAATATTGCAGTAGTGTTGGCAGAGTTAACAGATGGTATAAAACTGGCACCGCAAAGGACAGAAGAATGTCAAAGGAGTAGCTGGCTACTGGAATAACTCTAGGTGACAAAAGCAAGGGATAGATGTCTACAGACTTAATAAAAAGTTGGCTGAACATCACTGGCACTGGAGACCAAGTGTGCTGCGGCAAGAGGAGACCACTTGTTGTTTGACACATTCAAAAGGCATCTAACGCCAGCTGTGGGGAACAAAGAAACTGTGGTCCTATGGGATGAGACATGATGTCAAAACTCCAGGTGCTTGATGTAGTAGCAAACACGCAAGGCCCTTTAAAGACCATTTGAAGTAGTTGTATTTAGAATGGCTCTTGGCAGGCAAGCATACTCTAACGCCACAAGGAAAACAAAGCAGGCCGGTGCAACACCACTTGGTCTGGATTACAACAGCATGGGAATGGATAAACCCAGAACTCATAGCCAAAGGGGAATGCTGTATTCCAGATTTCTTGTTTGGAAATAAAGATAACGGATTTGGAAGAAGTTGAGAGTAGAAAAAACACCGTAGGGAAGGTGGTGAAGAGAGTGATACTGATGGAAATGACAGAGTTGCAAGGTGTAAAAGAGGCAACAGTAGTAAAACACGAGGTGAAAATACTCTCATTTCAGGCACAGCATCAGTGGAAAGTTAATATCCTTATTATATGTCGATTTCAGGTGTGTAACAAACCTTTTGTGTATAACTTTAAGGAGAGTTATCTTAACTTTAGGGTTGCCTTCCTTTCTGATTAATACAGTATTAAGTTTTCTGTTGTACAGAGGGAAGCACAAATACAGTTGTGACAAACACTGTCAATAGTACAGCTCAAAGATGAACAGCATGAACAAAACACTAAAACCAACTTAAATTTAGTAAACAAAGAGCAACAGTTTGACATAAATACATCTACCTTGAAAATAAATTGCCACAAATATCTACTACTGCTAAACAACTTCCAAAACTCAAATCACAAAACTAATTCTAAGTAGGGTGTAATATTTCCAATATAAAAATTCACACCACGCAAATTAAGACAAGACATTGAACTAGCATTCACACTGAACTAGACAACACTGGATTTATTTCAGCAAGACATTTTCACAATAAATTCTTTTGAATCTAGTATCTCCCCTTATAATTAGGTTTTTTTTTTTAAAAGTTAGAGCTTTTACTATATTGCTAAAAAAATCCAAATGAGATTTATCATAACTTCACAACAATCCTAATAAAATAAGTAAAAACTTACCCTGATTTTGCACTACCAGATCAAATGGTAAACAAAAGAAAAATAAAACAATGAAGGAAAAATGGACAAATAATGTACACTGTAATTTAATTCTGTAACTATAAATAGGCTTTTGTTAGTAAAGACATTGAATACTGCCCTCGGCCTGTTTGTGTGCATGCATGCAGAAATCAGAAAGATAAGCAAGCAAATAGGGATTAGAGACAACTATAAATAGAAAGAGCTGTCATTGTTCCAAGCATTCAGGTAACTGGAATTCTTTTTGCTGAACACAGAATTTTTATAAATGAACAGTCAGCCTTGAAAATTTGTTTGGACCCCTCCCTCCTCCAATATCAAAGTGAAAAGCAATTCAGAGCAGCTTTACCACTCTCTCTTTTCCATAAGGAGCATCTCAAGAAGGCAGCAAGGGATCTTCGATGCTTTGCGATAACATTGCTTCCTATGTTCAGAATACCTGTCAGGATTCTGAAACAGCTGCATTAAAATACCTTGTGAGGATTTTTAAAATTGTAAGATTTGCTTCTCCTGGAAGTTCAAAGTGCCCTGCTGCTGCTCTCAGCAGTAAGAGTAATAAAGCTCAACGTTCTGATACGTATCTTCATCAACAGAGTCTTGTTTCACACCCACTTTCACTAGAATACCTGAATCAGATACCTTCCCGTGAATGCACCTACTCATATTTAATAGCTAGGCAAAGCAATTTCAAACCAAAAGTTGTCATTTGTCTAATATAGACACTTCTGTTTTAAGCAACCAACAACATGCAGCCATGAGGTTTTGGAAAGACAGAATGTTTACAAAGAAAAGTCATGATTTATCTGCGACTGCATTTTTTGCATTTATTAAAGCAAGACAGTATAGATTGTTTTACTCCAGGATGAAATATGGCTGATACTGAGAAAGATCTACATTGTTCAAAGAACAGCCCTGCCACTCTTTAGCTATGACCAAACTAAAACTGTTTATTCAACCAAGATGTGGTATGACTTTAAAGCTCTATAGAAAAGGGAAAATACCAGATCATAATAATGTACGATTGCCTTCAGTGTAACAGTCTGAAGAAAAACAGCTGAACATTCTGTTATACAAACAAAACCACATTCCTTTCTGACTTTTCAAACCAACACACTGCTGGTTTTCATTACCAGTCACCAGGCATTATTATTTGTTAATAGAACTTAGGTACTGCAAGAAATCTCTCTCACAAAGAGAAAATTAGCACACTTTCTTTTCAACAGTCACTATTCTGTCTTCAGATGGCAAGCAAAAAGCAAGACATGTCTTGCGTGTTTTTTGACACAGAGTAAAGACAGTTGAACAGAAGTGCTAGATATATGGCTCAGCTTTGGGTGGAAAAATACAAAGCATGCCTGATCCTGCTTACGTTAATTTGAGTGTTTCCTGGTTTACCATATAAACATCAAGTCAAGATTTCTGCTAGTAGCAATATCTATTTTTCACCTATGATTATAGTCTTTGCTTCATCTCTTAAGTCTGGGAACAACAAAGCATGCAATAGATACTCTAAAGCGAATGTTAAACTAGAGATTTTCTTCGATACACACTGAAAAGATTGTCATGGCTAGAAAAAGGTAACTGTGTATCTAAAAGGTGCCATAAAAAAGGAAATAGTCACAATTTATTAAAAAAACCAGGAAAACAGGAGTATATGATGCAAAGAAAAAAATTTCGGCTCTGAAAAACCTATGAGAGAAAATGTCAAGACGAGCTTAGAGAGAAGTAAAAAAAATAGTGAACACAGCAGCAGTTAGCGGCTGCAACGCAAAAGGAAAGACTTCCAGAGTCACCTGCTAGAAAGGAGCCTGGCATGCATACGGAAGGATGTCTGTACAGAACATCTCATGCTTTCACTCTCTCAACTCTCTCACAGGAGCAAGTAGAGGCCAAAGACACTTTGGGAAATCATCCAAATGAATTAAACCCAAAGCAGGTATTAAACATAACAAATTTGGGGGAAGGTTTCGTAAGAGTCCACTTTTATCTCCAAGTTTGTTTATTACAGCATTTCAACAATAAGCTTTCAGCACTGAAATTCATTTCAAACTTACCACGACCTACAGTACTATTAATGTACTGGGAAAAAAAACAGTAAAAAAAAATGTATACAGGCTTATTAGCCATAGCATCATACTAGGCAAAAATACCTGAAAACAAAACAAAAACCAAACCAAAACATTTTTAAACAAAGCAATATCTTAACAGAGGATTGAAAATATTCAATAACTTACTTTTTCTGCATTTTCCTGTTTTTTTCTGCCTGACCTCCAAGCTTGCTGAGACCTAAAGCATCCTGAGAGGCACTATCTGCTTCTGCCATGCCAACTACAAAAAAACAAAAACAAAACCCACAAAAAAACCAGTGTTATCTTCTCCATTTTGGCCAGTTATAACTAAAAAAATCACTACTGCTTTCCTGCACAAAAGTATTTAATCCTTTGTAATATTACTGATCAGAAATGTACAAAGCCAAACCTCCAAGCCCATCTATCATTCCATTTCCTAGTTGAATACATACCCATCAAAATAGTGGATAAAAAAAAGGGAAAATCAGATTGGTACGGACTCAAATAGGTGCTGTCTAAAACCAGTCAGAGACACACAGAGCACCTCACGTTTCAACCACCTGTAAGATGAATCCTCCATGTTCCCATATCACTTATGGGTGGTGTCAACATCAAGGGTACTAATTTACACAAAGAATTATGCAAAGAGAAAGGTAACCGTAGCATTTACTAAGCCAGCTGCGTTCATTTCAAGAGAGTTCCTTTGGGCCCAAAGTGAAGACATGCCTGTTGGTGTCAACACTAAAAAAAGCCTCTCTCACTTCTGAGAAAGTTGAAATTTTTGCTTCACAAAACAAGCCATAACAGTTCCATAAGGTTCCATAACCTGGTTACCTAAGTCTAAAAGACAGCAACATAACCTGACTAGCTGAACTTGCATCCTACTCTCATAAAAAGACCTACCACAAGATTCAGTGTCACTAGTTCCCAAAAAATGCTGTACATCAGCATCAAAATAATCAGTCATAAATATGTACATACCGATACACACATCAAATTCAGTCTTTCACTCTCTCTTACTACGCCAAAAAAAGAAAAAGCGCAAACCAACCTTGTCCTAATGTTTCCTTGCTTGTTTGTCCGGGTCGTCCCTTTTCTTTCTTGCCAAACAAGCGGCCAATGGAGGATTTGATCCCCTTCTTTTTGGGGGCTTTATGAAGGGAATCTTGACTACTATTGCTGCTACTAGGATTACTTGTTTGCCCATCTTGTGAGCCTGTTGAACTTTACAAAAAGAAAAAGGCATCATAAAGGAGTCTCTTTTTTAGGAAATATTTCAATACCTAGACTAAAATCCTATAAGCTGAACAACTTTGCAGTTTTAGGATTTTATTCTGATGATCTGAAATCCTAAGTTACTGGTAGGTCTGACTTATTCACTGCTACTTACTTTCTAATGTCCCTGATATCTTCATGGCTCACGGTATGCAAAGCTCCTTTTTGAACTCTGTCCGAACGCAAAGATCGAGGTGAAGAAGGTGGTGATGTCTCACATTTTATTGTGGTTTTATCATCTCGTACCTCTTCTCTAGAAGCTGGAGACTAACAGAAAACAAATGAAAACTTGAGGGGTTAGTTGGAAATGCCAAAACATGAATGTAATATCAACACCACACAAAATACTGAATGGAAAAAACCCAAATCTTTCAGTGTTAAAGGGTTACTCTCGCCCTTTCTATTCCACAGTTGCCTATAGTTTGACTTCTTTCTGGATTTTCTGTTACATTCAGTGACAAACTACTAAATTTCAGCCTTAGCTAGTGAAATGAGCAAGTAGCACTCATCTTTTACTCACTAATAGAGCTAAGACCTAAAGTAATGTCTTCAGCACCATAAAACTAATACACCCGACTTCAGCTTAAGCAAGCGCAAAGACAGAAAACCAGAGAGTCCTGTGAAAAGAAAGCATTGTCATTCTCACTGTTACACGTGTTTAGACAATCATTAACAAGATCACCAATTCTATGAAATCAGTTTCTACATTCCTGTGGCTACAGCTTATCTCAAAGTTTGAATAACAGAAAGGAAGACTTACTTGTGTGTGCACTAACAGATCTTTAAAATTAAATATTGTTCCATGAAGATTGCAAAAGTCACTGTTACAAACAGAAAGCAACACAATTCCCCACACCAGCAAAAAAGCCAAGAAAAAAAAAAACAAAGCACAAAACAAATCCACACTTATGTTAAGATGATAAACCATTTTACATTTAATATCAAAGAGCATATAAACTTGCTTTATTATAGGGTTACCCTACAAATGCTTCTTTTTATGTTCCTGTTACCCATTAATGAATTTGGGGACAAAGCAGTAGATGAAGAGGCACACCAGTAAATAAACTAAAGATTTTTACCTTTCTACGGTGTTTCCTTAAATCACTAGGCTGATAGATGCATGCAAAGAAAAGAAATTTGGAAGAACCATATTTATTATAAACTGTAGCACAGACTGAAATAACTAGTACAGACAAAACATATTAGGGAGTATATAAATAACAATTACAGCAATGGCACAGAGACTATGAAGTACTCTTCAAATCACAGATTACTTAAATGTATCCCTGAAGAGGGGACAAGGAAGAAAAAAAAAATTAATCAAGACTTGTAGTTGGTTATCTACAAAAGTACCATAGCTATTTCAACGTATGGGTACTGCAGGCAAATTGGCACACAAAATGTGCATTATCTTCAGCAAGAAAAACATGGGGGCATAAGGTGTTGCTTTTAAAAAGCAAGAGGATTTCCAGTCATATGTCCAGGACTTGCCTTGAACTGTATAACCTACATGGCAGCCACAGCAGGCTTAATACATTGTCTGCACTAGTCCTTTCTCACACCTTAGCCAATTCCTCAGTCGTTTCCTATGTAGCATATAAAGCAGCCAGACTTTAAGAACTGTGAAAGACAGAGTGCCAACCAGAGCTGATTTCTATACAGTAACAGTATTCTGTTCTTTTTTACTAAGTTTAAAGTGCTGGAATGTTTGAGCAAGAGTCTACCACTGATTTTATTTTATCCTCCACCCGCTCCAGAAGCCACTGTATCTCCCTTCCTAGGTACTTCCCACCTCTGCCAGTGCACAGAGCAAGGCAGCAACCCTGAGTAACATAAACAAGTTATCCAGGCTGCTGACGACAAAAGTTTGAAATAGTTTCATAGTTATCATCGTTGTATTTGGTGACAAATTGTTTCAAAAGACTGCAACCAAAAATAAAGTCAGTCCTCTCTGAAGCGTGGGAATTGTATGTTGTTCCTCCTGCCACAAATGGCAACTTTTAATCACTTGTTATTTAGAATATATGCAAACTACACAGCATTAATATGTAAAGTTTTGTTCAATCTGACTGTACAGTACTATGGTAACAAATCATAAATTCATAGAAGGGCTTGGGTTGGAAGGGACCTCTAAAGATTATCTAGACAAAGCGTAGCAGACTCATTTTAACCTTGCTGGATCTTTCATCTGTTAAATCCAATAACCCATACAAATGGAAATATTTACCATATGGAATGAAAACTGTCCACAAGAACTGTTGAAAAGAGCTGTTAAGTTTTACAATGTATCATGTTGATGCTTTTTAATTTTAATCAGAAGGGGTTTCAGCTAACTGAACTGCCCAGCGCTACTACTGTAGTTAGCATTAAGCCAATGTTGCCATCATGCTCACAGACCAGTGGCCAGATGCTAAAACGTCAGACAAATGCAACTGCAAATAATATATCAAGTGCCTTTGAGTCACAATTATTATGACCTAAAGTGAATTTAATTATTTATTTTTATTCAATTACATTAGACTTTAACACAAGACACATAGTCTTCTGATCTAGCTACTTACAGTTGTATATGGTTTTCTGTAAGAGACGTATGTAGCTTAACTACTTATTACTGTGAAAAGTCAGAATATATTCTACTCTGCATTTTGACATTTGTTAGTTTCTGTGAAAGAAGCACGCTTGACCCTGGATATACGGATAGAGCTAGTATAATGATGATTTTTATTTTTTTTTAAATGCAAGAAAGGCAAAATTATTCCTTTTTATTAAAAAATAGACTTTTTGGTATATTTACACATTATTTTTAAAAAGCCAGCAAAAGCAGTTAGCCCAAATACTTGGTTTTAAACACTCCTATAAGAGACCTAAATAAGCCAAGTCAGTGACTGACAATTCACCTGCCCTTACAGTGACAGGTAGCATTCCTTGTCTACTGCTTGGTATAATATAAGCATGATACAAGTGCAGTAATCCAAGACAATAAGGTATAGTAAGTACGGTGTTGCATGTACAACTAGTAAGTACAGTTTCCAAATGCATATGCAGATCTGGAGATAAAGTAATGTATTTAGAGCTAAGTTAGAGAAGGAACTTTTCCTGGAGAGTCCTTGCAAATAAATACCTGTATCCAAGATGCTCCTTAGTGAAAGACATTCCAAATGTGAGAAACCATTTGGTTTGCATCACATTTATGTAAAAATAAAACAGTGGAAACTTGTATCTTGTTTTTACAGATAGGTTTACGTGCTTAAAGCCCCTCCTCCAAGGAGGATTCATTTTTCTAAGCAGTCATATGAACATCAAAAGAATGGATCCATCTTTCTCTACTCACTCAACTGCTAAGCGCAAGCTACTACTTCATCAGGTACTAGGTCTAACAGATACTTCTTTTACATGTCAGTCTTAATAGGCTAAAACCAAGACACTAGAGCTCATTAAAACAGCTGTGATTCCTCCACAATCTTCAAGATTAATACAATATATGCAAATCACTTTCTAGCTGAGCATTTAGTGGAATAGTGGACTGCTAAAAATAAAGTTTAAAGCAGAGGGAGAAACTGGTTGCTGTACCAGGGGTTGAAAAGAAAACATTATTTCTTCTAGGAAGAGGAGTCGGAAGAAAGACCATAACAGACAGAATACTTAGGCATGAGATGTTGACCAAATAATAGACTTGAGTTCTGAACGTTTTTCCTAATCATTATGACTGTATCTTACACTTTTTATAGAAGTTGAAAGGAAGCAGTAGAAAAACCTAGAGAAAGGAAAAATACAGCTGAGTAAGAAGGAGAAGAAGGGGAAATCAAACAATCCATTTCCTAGAGAAAAGGAATACTCTTCTGAAAAATTAAAGTTAACAGATACTTACCAGTGTCATGATACCTAGTCTGTCCACTTCCCGAGCTGGACTATGTGGAATCCGCCTTGGGGTGGAGCGGCCACTGCCAGGCGGAGAAGAACCAGCAAGTGAACCACTTGCATAGGGTGGAGGAATGGAGCTCATGGACCTGAATCGGCCATGGGCATCCAAACTTCCACTACCCACTCTGCTTTCAATTTCCTCTGCACGCTGCTCTGTGTTTTCCTTTTCTTCTTGTATAAGTCTAAAAGAAAAGAGTTTCAAAGGAACATGACATTCAAGTAAGTACCATATAAACAGAATGGCTGACTCAAGCATTAGGAAGCAGCAGCAAAACAGCCACACTGAAAAATCCTCTGATCTAATCCGAAAAAACCCAGTGGTAAACACTACCATTACCACCGTGCAGGGGTTTCTGTCAAACTAGTAACACACAATCCCTTCCATAACTGGGACTGAAGACAAAGAACCAGAAAAGAGTACTTGGCCTAAGGAAACCAGCTACTTCTGTCAAGTTCCCCCACCAGGGCAGTGAATGGGCAACCACCATTTTCTGAGTAAGCACACAAAAAGGATTTCTAGTGTCACAGAAACCCATTTTTATCAAAACCTAAACAGCAGATAGACCATACCTAATCTCTTTGTTGATTGCATCCAACTGTTCTTGAAGCATCATGGCCAAAGTCTGAGCATCAGCCTGACCACTTGGTGACAGCAGATCAACTGAACTGAATATAGTCTCCCTATCATCCTCAACATCAGACACGTCAACATCACTTTCAAATGCTTGTGCCACGTTTGCCAACACGCTTGCTTGCTGTGCTCGCTCCCAGTCCTGCTCGTTCAGAGTTTGAACCTAAGAGAATAAAAAAAAAAATCCAAACTCAAACGGAAAAAACATGACATTTCTACTGTTTTTCAAGATGTTGAAAATAATTTTTAAAAAGCCCACTTACATGCTGAATGCATCCATCAAGACAGCAATGTTTAGAGAAATGTAAAAAAAAAAGCTATAATGTACAAAGCTTTGTATCTTAAAGTTACATAAAATTCAAAGTAGACAGCCCCATTGAATAAATTAAAACATCACATATCTTGGTTATATGCACTATACATTACAGTAGAATTTTGCTATCAAATCCAATGAGAATTTTGGAAACAGCTTTATGTAATGAGAACTTATGTATCCTGAAAAGGGCTTGAAATTGCTTGCAGTGATGTGTTAAATTAGTGTGCAGACACAAGAGTAGGGCTGTTTCAAATTATGTTTTACAGGCTTATCATACTCAGAACAATTTGGAGTTCAAAATCATAATTTTACAAATATTTGTTAACAATTAAAAAGATAAGTAGCTGTGCATTAGTAAAACAAGATCCATAAAATCTAGTGGTTTATTGCTATGCACTCCTTGCAAAAGATTATCCTCATCTAATCTATTTTGTTGCCAAAGTTTTATTTTTATCTTCATTTCAAAGCTCTATTACCTTCGAGGGTTCATCTCTGAGAGCTGCCAAACGTCCTTTCTGGGGACGTCTTAACACTGACGAGGTGCTGTAAGAGTCTGCATGACTGTCAGCCACAGTTGAAGATGTCATAGGGTATCTGAAATCTGGTCGGCTAGAACACGAAGAAACGTTTTATCTTTACGAAGGTAGGGAAAAGGGGGGAAAACAAAAAACTCCACCCAAACGATTCCTATTGTCCCACCAGTGCCAATTTTTTAAAGCAGTATAAAAACTGCTTTATATGCTCTACAAAGAGGTATGTTTTATAGCTATGTCTAAAATATTTTCAGTTATAATAGACAAAATTATATTTTGAAAAGTGACTTTAAAGAAATTGGGAAAAACTGAACTACAATTAAGTGCTGGTACCTGTGATGAAGTGATGTGGCTCTGAGTCTCACTTGGTCATTTTCAGCCCTTAATGCTTCAACATTTAATACAAGTTGATCCTGTAAAAATAAACAGATAAAATACATTAAAAAAAATCAGTTTCAAATAATGATTTATAAACTAACATTTAGGTTTTTGATCTCATTTCTACGAAACTCAGAAATAACAGATTTTAAAGCATATCTTTCAACGACGTAAAACGTAAAAATGATTTTTGCTACACACAATACAGCACCACCACAAAAGGGCATCCAAGAATAATTCTGTTGCCTCTCTACACTGTGACTCTAGGTAATGGCAATGTATGTTTTAAAAACAACTCCTAAATAAAATTCACATATTACTAACTTTACTATAAGTGATAATACTTAAGAAACAAGAAGATTTATCAAGCTCTGTGCACAAAAGGTTCTAAATGCATTCACTTTTAACTTAGACATTTTTACATGCTCTAGAAACTCAGAATTTAACAAAAGAGAAATCCAATGAATGAGAAAACAATGAAAGACTAATAAAAAGTAGCTGATGATGAACATCTGTGCCTTGTGTGAAAACTGCTGGCCTAGACATACAAAAATTCAAAGCACATTCTGCAAAATATTCTGAATGCGTTCTTCATTTTATTACAGAAGCACAGCCTCTACAGTTTGGCCTAGCTACTTACTAGAATGATTTGGGGAGATGCAGTACACCTGTGATTTAATAAGCAATAACAAGTATTATTTCAGAACAGATAGCGTGACCACAAAAATCAATTGCCACTGCTTAAGGATGCAAAGCAATTAAAGGCCCCACCACTAACATTCAAGAAGGGAACCTGCCAGTTGCAGGACAAGCAAGACACCAGACCCAACTGGTATTGCAAAGGAACAGCCAAGTCTAATAATTATTTCTCTCCCTGCCCCCACAATTCTTAAAACTTTAAAAAAAAAATTATCAGTCGAACAAGCATTTCATGATACCCAATGCTTTAAGAAAAAACTTATGGGAGAATACCCAACATTAAAACTATTTCTCTTTTCTTTTTACTGTTCTAGGTCATATGTACAAAGGTATAAAAATTCTATGCAATCTTCAATCTTTGGTAAAATGCCAGTAACTCCAGCCACTTTACATGATCAGAAGTGTGTTAGGTCTTTGAGTAAAAAGCTATGCATTACCTATAAAATCATCACAAAACTGAGGCACACAGTCCCATAAAATGAGCAATAACAGCCCCTTATTTTAAACAGACCAGGTAATGTTAACTTCTAGGGGGGAATTCAAATCTGGTCCTGCTTGTAGCAATGCAGTAATTATTTTCCAACATAATATTTAAAAAATGTGTATTATACCTTTTCATGCTGAAGTTCCTCTATTTGTTTTTTTGCATTTTCAATTTCTCGAAGAAGTGAATTCTAAAATAAGAAGTATCACAAATTAAGTTACTTATAAAAGCTTTCAACTCTTAAACCATAACCAAGATGAGTATCAAAAAATTTCAGTCAACACTGTACAGATGCATCTTAAGTTACGGCTACTTTATTGCTTACATCATTTCACTTTGATTATAGTTGAAGGTTTATCCTTTCAGGTGTGCAGGTGACTAAATAATGGATTTAGTAACAGTACAGTTTCCATAAAAATTTAATACCAAAATCAGCCTTTTAAAGCTCTGTTTGACAAAATGGGTTAAGAAAAAAAAGGAATAATTAGGCACCTAAATTAATTCAAAGTAATTCACTGAGGGGTTACTAAGGCATTACTGGCTGTTATCATTTGGTTTTCATTTTATTTTCCCTTGCCTGACCTACAAAATTACTATGCAGTAGTTTCTTGGATGTGCTGCACATCCAGAACTGCAACACACACTGACTTGTGGGCCTTCATTAACATCAGAGTTGTCGTCTTTACAGTTATACCAGGACTTCTAAACAACTCCAGTAAATATAAATACTTATGACTACTACAATCTCTTTACTCAAAGCGGTTTCCAAATTCAGACTAAGAATCATCAGAGAACTAAGAAACATTTGAGAGCTGCAACAAATAATTTCAACTATTGTATTTGACTGTAGTACGTGATACCAAGAAAAAAAAAAAATCAGAGATTCCCTCTTCTAATAGGAAATTCCTAACTGTGTCACTTTCTTTTCCTTTTCCACCATTGCCATAAAGTTCTGCTAAGCACATATCTTTGAGGTAAGTAATACCATTACTTGTATCTTAAACATGTAATAAAAGTTTCATACGTGAACAAACAAATCATTCTGGGGAAAAAAGCCCAAGTGATCAGAAGAAAGTCTTAAAATTTTCCCTGCATGTTTCTTCCCAACTTATCACAAAAGAATGACCTGGAAGCCACAGCAAAAAAACACTTTACTAGAAGCTGTAACTTACAGTGAAGGACAACTAGATTTTCCTCATTCATGAACACAGTTATGGTTTGGAGGGAAAAGGGGAGTTCAGGTTAACCCTAAGACACCCCCTTCGCCAATATTCAAGCATTTAAAGAAAAAATGCAGTCAGCTGTTTCTCAGAAATTGAATTTATAAAGACTGTTAGAGCAACCTTGCTGATGTCCTAACAAGGCCCATAACAAGAATTTCTGAAGTATTAGGAGCAGTTGATGATCTTGAAAATAGTGATGTTAACTAAACACCACAAGACAAAAGTTTGTGGCCTTAGATGCCAGATGATAAGCAGCACCTTTATCATTAACTTGAAGGCCGAGGATCAGCAGGACCTACGTTTGTTCTGCACTACCTGATTCCTTGCAGCTCTGACAGCACAAAAGCAGGGAAAAGAACAAACTAAATCTTTGTAATGATGATCTGAGGGGAGCGCAGTCCTGGAATTCTGGAAAGACATGTCAGATATCTGACTGATGGTTTTGGGATGAGAACTGAGTTGACATGGATGCAAGAGAAAGTAAACATGTATTAAAGTCTGAGTACATCATTATATATTGCAACTGAAGCATTTTATTGCCCTGACTTTAAAACAAAAGCCACTGGGTTTTCATTGAAACATTTCCCCAGATTGGCATTTCACCCTCCAGTAAAAGAAACTAAGTATTTCTTTAATCTAAGACAAAGCAATTCAAAGTCAGCATCAAGCAAAGCGCTACTTTAGAAGACACTGCTTTGTTCAATGCAGAATAAGAGAATCCTTAAAGACATGCATGGAAGAAAAACCTCTAAGGACCTAGATGCAAAAGCAGAAGGAAAAAGTATGTCACAAAGTTTGAAAATTAATTGAATACAGGGGACACCTCCAGACATGCATTGACAACACAGGGAACAGCCCATTTACATTCACATCACCTTTCTCAAAATGATCTACCTGGGAAGAAAATGCAAGACACTTTCAACTTGCAAGAATCTGACTGACTCAAGGTAAGCATTAGTGGGGAAAAAACTGAACTGAAAAGGTCGAAGTTCTTTAGACTTCCCGTATTACAGTGCATGAGCCTATTCATGTGGTCCACACCAGGCAACAAAGAAAGGATAAAGCTTCTTAAAAGATGCCTTCTCAACACAGTTGTACAATGCCCATGGACAATCTCAAAAAAATGAATTTAAGAACTTATTTTCAAGATCCACACTAGAAAACAGCCTTAACAGAAACTACTTAATAAGTATTTAGTATTTATTTACTGAAGTTACAGACACATTGCAAAATGCACAAATCACTCCAGAATGTTGAGCATCTAATTAACGTGTATGTTGGAACATGACTTGTTACCTTATCTTCCAAGGCAGCCATCCTTTCTTTGAGGTGAAGCTGGAGCCTTTCATTAGATTCAGACAAAAGCTTATCGACAGTTTCTGACAAACGTTTATTATGCTCTTCATTCATCTTCTCTCTCTGTCTAGCCTAAGATACATAAAAGCTACTGAAATAACTTAAAATTTACAATGTCTATAACAATTTCCAGGTTGTAAAAACAGTAAGCTTTCTTTAATCCAAAAGCAGTTTCTTTAATAGAAACATTTTGTCCAAAGGAATAAGGAATAGAGCATGTACCCCCATGACTCTGTAAGGGAGTATAAGGGACACTTAAGACTTTAATAACTGAGATCAGAAGCTTGAAGATCTGAGCTTACATTTCAGCTAAAAGCAGATTTCAGAACCAATTACATTATTTATAACCTAGGAAACAATTTTTCCATCCTCACTTCATTCAGCAAGTTTTTGATCTGTCTCCTCATCAGAAAGTATGACTAGTAATTACATATTTCCAAACATATTTCAAACTTTGATTGGAGACTTCCAGCTTTGTCTTGAGATTTAAGGTTAGCCATAGTGCAGTGGCTCGAATCTCCCAACTATCAGCCAGCCTAAACTCTGGTTTTATTTCAGAGAAATAAAAACCGCTTTGCTGAATAGCAGGCAGCCATGAAGGGGATTAGATTCTTTCTTTCAGCTTTGTATCTTTGCCAAAAATATGTACGGTACCCTTTGCAGTTCTTGATTCTTTTCTTCCAGCTGCGCTTCCATCTGTCTCAGTCGTTCTTCTATATTGCCATGTCTTTCCTCAGCCTGTCAATTTGAAAACAAAATTAGAATTTGTTTTTTTTTTTTAAATGGTTTCAAAAGCATAGAAACACTGAAGCACAATAATATATCTAACATGCTTTGCACAACTGCCATTTATGGTAATACACAATGCAAAACAGATGCTTTTCTGTCACTAGGAGAACCTCGTAAGAGTTCATATGTTAAATAACAAAACGATGAAGCCTCTCACCCTTAAGTACTATGAATCAGCTATTATCTGCAAATGAGTTTGCAGCAACAGAAGTTCATTCAAATCCCCAAAAATTTAAAAAAAAAAAAAACATAAAAAAATCAAAACTGAATGCATTTTCAGCTTTTCCTCACTAGTCCAGACAATATGACCCTTTGTTAGTAATCATGACAAAGCAGAAAGCAGCAAGCAGAAACAAGGACTAGTATACAAATTCTACCTTCCTAAGCTTGGTGGTAAGTTCCAATACTTTAGCATCTTTAGCAGCAGAGTTCCCAGGAGACAAAAGGTCAGACTACAGAGCCAGTTAGGGACAGGAAAGATAACAGGTAAAGAAATGAAACTCAGACTTGAAAACAAAACACACACACACTTGAAAAGGCTCATTTGTAGTTACTACATAAAATTCTTCAGACTTCGTTATTCCATTTGCAGCCTTCCAAAAATCTTAGTATTTAACGAGTACTATTACTTCTCTTTCTCCCCACATTCCTCCCTTGGTTAACTGTGGAAATTTGGGGTTCCCCTTCAGAAATAGTTCTTGTTTTAGAAGACTTTATGCCTATTATTGAATGAATTTTAATAAAAAACAACAAAATGCTAATTCAGAGACATTTTCATAAAGTAACAGAGTTAACAAAAAACCTACTCAAGTTCCAAAGATCATGGAGAAAAAAAAAAAAGGAAAAAAGAGTAAATCAGAGTGTGCTCAGAGATGAACAGAAAACAAGGAGAGACATTTTCTGGGGAAAAACAGAAACACAATGCAACAAAACCAACACTAAAACAGATTTCGTGTAGCAGGACATCAATGAAGAAGAGAGTCTTGAGGACACTGTCCAACTGAGTCACCTTTGAAAGTGCTGCAACTCTCTGTGCCAGCTCAGCTTCCACCTCCGGCAAAGTCTCAGCTTTTCTCAAAGTCTGCTGCAGCTTTTGCTCAGCTAGTTCCAGTCGTTCTTGCAATTGCCTATTCTTATCTTCACTCTACACAGGATTATGATCAGCAAATGTTTAGCGTTAAATTGGTAATTAATTTTCATCAGAAGAAGGTAAGGATACAGATTACTGCCTTTACTAGACCTATGGAGAACAAACTGTCCAAAACTGGTTTCATAACCAAAGATGAGAGAAGTTTTTTCTCTACAAGTTTTTTTTCTGCAGACAATTTTTTGTATTCTGAAAGCAACTATATCACCAAACAAACATCGTTACGATATGGGAAGCAGCACAGAATAAGTCGTGAATTTTCAAATGTCAAGGCTGTGCTAAGATTTTGAGTTACATCAAGGAAAAAATTCCTTCATATTTTAAATAACACTATGCATATTACTGCAAAATTTATATTTATTTAAAGTGTGTACAACTTCTTTTAAAAATTATACTAAATGGGACTTCTTTTGTTGACTATGAGTTGCCTGGTTTCCTTGAGTTAGAAAGTGATTGGCTAAACAACCATTTCTGGTTTTAAGTTGGACTACTTCATGTCAAGCATATGTCAAATTTCCTCCTGCAGTAAGGCAACATTTACTTCTATAACAGGCTATAAAAAAAAAAATCACCATACGAGTTTTAAAACTGTTTTAGCTTAAAATGAGTAATTCTCACACATGAAACTAAAGGTGCTTGGATACACATGTAACAACTTTAAAATCCACAACTAACAGGGACAACAGCCCTGCTGCACTGTGATCAAGTGCACTAAAATGCTCAAAACCATTTCCTCTCTCCAGTTAACTGTCTCATTTTCATTTCCAGGGTAAAACTCTGTACAATGCACTCCTTCAGTTACTGAAAAACAATCACTAACAATAGTGCATTACAGATGATATTTATCTTGCTAAAAGCAAAGTGCTTTAGTAGAGTATGAACATTAATTATTTCCATTAGTTCTATGCTGAGCAAAATGGTTTTTATCTTATTTCAAATTACAACCTGTCGATGCATGGAGTCTTTAGTGGCAATTTCATTTTCAAGTTTATCATTGAGGTCATGCACAGATGTAGCTTCACGTTGTGCAGCGAGGTAGCGTTTCTCAAGAGTTGTAATTCTCTCTTCCATGTCTTCCTTTTGAGCCATAGTCTATGCAAGACAAAACAGAATTATCTAGTGATCAAACTGGAGGGAAAACCCACAAGCCAAAAATAATAATAAAATGAAAACAAGTCAGATGTACTCTATTTCTCTCAGTAGAAAAATGAAGTAGGAAGAATAGTTGCACTTAAGCTTAGCTGTTCAATGAATTTCGGTTTTTAAATGGTGAATACTTAAAAAGATTGGTCTTTATTACATTACATGACAGATCTGCTATTTACCTTTTCAACAGCACAAACACAGCAAATCTTTTCTTCCCGGGGATGGTCAGAGAGTGTTCTTGGATTTAACTAAGCTCCCGTTCTATTTAATAAGGATACAGTACACAGCAATACATAGGACCTTAGGGATTAGTGACTGATTAGTAACAGGAATTGTCAACCACACCACTGAAATTAAAGTGATTCCTCAACCATGTACATCTTGAAAAATAAAAAATTTAAACTTCATGAATAAGCTTAGCATTTATGCCACAATCAAGCACCTTTTCAAGAACACATTAAAGTTCACAATGCTAAATCTACAATTTATTTGTGAAATATAGTTATTCATAGATTAATTCTGAAGGGACTGGTCTTTCAAACAAAAAATAGCACTATCATGCTCTAAATTTTTTTCTCACCTATCAAAGACATTCAAGAGCATAAAGGTCTAACGGAGCATCAATGACATTGAAATTTTATACAGCAATTGCATTTGTGACTACCCAAGTTTTGACAGTTTATTCCTCACCTCTCGTACATCTCTCTGTAACTTTGTATTCATTTCTTCAGATTTTATTAAGTCTTTTCTAGCTGTGTCAAGATCCTCTTCCAGCTCTGTTACTCTGCTAGACAAAGCAGTAAGACGTTCTTTCATTTGTGTCTGCTCTTTGTTTTGCTTATCTATGATGTCTTGGAGTTCAATCACTTTTGCAAGGTTTTCATCGTGGCATAAAGAACCATCGGAGGATCGCTATAAAACAGGAGAAAAATGTATTTGCATATTACACAGAAATTTGAAAAACTAACAGTTTCTTAACTGTAAACACCCCTGCCCCAAGATAATTTTATTGTTGGATAGACTGCAAGAATTGAAATTGTAGTAACTGAGACTTTTTAATTAAACCATCACTCAAAATCTTTTATTATAGTTTAAAATTAAAATATTATAGTGAATGCTGAAAAATCAGACATCAGCTTAAAAAAAGTAAAAAGCTGTACCTTCCCATTTGTAGTTGGTGTATTTTCTTGTTCATGATTTATATCCAGCATCCCATCTGGAAGTGTTTTCTTCTGATTATTTTGCTCTTTCAGAATCATTAACTAAAAGAAAAAAAGTTTATATACATATGTTTCAAGTCAAATCCTTTCTCACTAATAATATAAGTAACAGCTGCAAAAGCAAAGGAACAAAACAACAATTACTGATTCTGCTGCAAGGTATGTATTAATAAAATACGGCACAGGCACTCAAAAACTTAATGCCACTGCCATCCAAAAATTCTTATTTTAAAGCCACAGGAACTCTTTTTGTTATTTTGGTGGGGATTTTTTTTGTCAGGTTGGGGGGAGGATGCGTGGGGGAGGTTGAGGTTTGGATTTTTTCTCCTTTCCTGCTCCTTCAAAGTGATTAAGTTAAAAATTCTAGTTATCCCATTCAGCAAAATACCGAAAACAAGAAGTGAAAGTGAACCTTAATATGTGAATAAATTACTGTGTACAAATATTGACTAACACACCCACAGTGCACACATGAAGACTTTTAAAAGAGAAACCTACCTCTTTATGCGTAGTACCTAGTTCTTCTTCCAATAAGCTACATCTTTCAAGTGCTACTCGTAACCTCTCCCTTACCTGAAAAAGCAATTTCAAATAATTTCACTTATTGCCATATCTCCATACCTTTTCAGATACGAAATAGCACTATTTCCATCACACTTAGAGACCCGCTTAATCTTAAGTACTAATTACAACATATGCTACAAAAAACCTTTTAGAGAAACAATGTGTATCTTACAATCTAGCTTTTCTCTTTTTGTCATAAGCAAATCATATCTCAACCTGACCTATACATTTACACAAGAATTAAACACATCCAGAATTTGCCTATCCTTTTGTAAGGCACAGAGTGCATATGCTTATTTAAAACAAGGAAGAAGAGACACAGTTCTACTTAAAAGAATTTACCAGACTACGTACAAAGGTCACAAAAGTTAGGCAAACTATGAGTTGGCAGCAAAATTCATAGTAAACTTTACCATTTGCATATCCTGTTGCCAACATCAGGCACAACTAAAGGGCGGAGTTCCTTTAATTGAGCTTTAGTTTCTATCACAGTGTTAGCAGATTCCTCTCCTCCTGTTCTCTCTAGTCCATTTCTTGTAGTAGATAATCAAAAGGCTAAATCCTGATATTATAAAAGTAAGCACATGTATGCATTTCTACAACAAATACATCGCCCCTGAAAGTTCACGTTAGCACAGTTAATGAAGTTCTAGAATAAAATACAGCACCTTGCTTTAGTGCAGTATGTTTATTTCAGAAGGCAGTTACTAATGCAGTTATAGCAAAGCCACTAACTTAAAGCGGAGAAAAGTTCAGGGAACCTGACTTCTACAACTTGAGTATGAACAACTGCATGGTCCACACATAAGAAAGAGGGCACAGGATGAGAAGATGTTAGCTACCATATTTCATTACCTTTTCATCTAGGGCTTTGTGGTGTTCAAATAAAGATTTTAGTGCTTTGAGAACTTCTACTTCACTAGAAACTCCTGCTGGAGACTGAGCTTGTCTCTTTACAACTGTCATTCTGAGAGATCGCTCATGCCTGGAGACAAGACACTCCAAATGTTCCAGTAATAGCTAAAACAAAAAAGAAGGAACAATGTTTACTCCTGTTTGGCATAGCTGCAGAAAACTTTGCCTCCTAAAACATTGAGTTTTGAGTACTAAACTTCAAACCTGAGAGCAAATGACTATTGCATCAAACGTAAGGACCTGCTTTTAACATTTCACCCATGTTAGAAGTGATATAACGCATTTCCTACCCCTCTCTTTCAGTCTAGCTTTTAAATGAGCTTTCTACTCAGCCAGGTCTTTTCAGTCCCACCACCACTCTGAGGAACTGCATGCTTGTCAGAAGGATACACACAGGAAATGCTCTAAATCAGAGACAACTGTTCTGCTGGCAGTAGCGTAAGCTGCTGGAACAGATCACGACAGCTTGCCCGCTCTATTCTGCTGATCTCGGGTGTTGTATGATTACAAAACTTTAACAAGAAGAAAGCTGAATGACAGATAGCAGTGCAGTCTTACAAGTTTTTCCTGATTCTCCACAGCATTATTTGGAGCTGTGCATAAGCTTCCAAACTTTCTTAACACACATTCACATGTCCAGGGGGATTCACATGCAAATATCAGGGAAAAAAATACTTTTGGCTTTTCAAATTCAACATTCAAAATTTTTCTCCATGTAGTTGGACGCTTTAACAATGGTAATCTTGAAGACAAGGAACTAACCCTCGTATTATTTCTTTCTGCTTTCAGTTCAGCGATTTCTTCTTCCCTCTCAAGCAGCTGCTCCCTGCATACATTTAGCTCTTTTGTAAGCGCTGCAAATTCCTGAAATAAACCAGACAGAAATGTAAGCACACCAAGTATTGGGATATAGTGAGAGTAGATTCATATGAACACTTGACATGATTTCTTGAAGTATTCATTTCAGATGTCTAAAGTCAAGACAGTTGTATTAGTCATGCTAAGCAGGCTTAAGTTCAAACACTTAAAACCGTTACACTGTCAAATGTAAAGATAAAAGATGTTTGACCAGTACTTTTGAGAACTTGTTTGTCTCAAGGCAATTATCTGAATTGGGGTATCCCTGGTAAGCAAAGGGAAAAACCTGTTTGTAATGTACTTTGTTATTGTTTTAAAAAGTTGTTGTTTGGTTGGTCTTTTTAAATGACTTCTGAAGGAGACACGAAAAAACAGAGCACTAAGCAAAAACAGAACCCAGCAAAACAAGGCAAATTTCAAGTCAATATTTAACCCAGACAATGCATACCCCTGGCATTTACCAGAATATACAGGTTACTTCTTCATAGTAATACAGCATCCTTGAAGCTTCACCACTGGAGGACTCAGACCTTTATGGTATTTATCTACTTAAGCTACATACAGGAATTGCATTTATACCTACTTTCAAATCTCACTGAACAGAACTGAAACAGCCCTTCCCCATAGTCTTGCTAGGAATCTGGGAGGATTAGAGTCGGAATTTTCTAGAAGCTGAGTCCTTGGGCTCAAAGCCCTCAAAAAGCTTTCCCTTCAAATTCAAAAAAGCCTTCACCAAACACAACTGAATGAAAGTGAAATAGTGCACAGAGTGAAAAGCCATCAGAAAACAGGAATTAAGCTAACTCACAGCAGTTACTGCATGTTTATTTGAACATTTCTGAACATTGCGATTAGTCAAATTTAAAGAATATATTTCTAATTTTTTGAGTTTTTGTCAGGAAGACATGATTGTACCATATACCTGGAAGACCTACTATGTTCTAAAGTATTTGCACTCTATCAACAGCCTCACTAAAAATACTCAACATAAAAGGCATTTCACTGTATCAACTCAGGGAGCGTACTCTGGATAAGATACAGCTACACACCACATTTATAAACAAATACTGAGCCTAACCTTACCTACCTGCTTACTCTGGCAAAATTTAAGTTGTAATCTGAACCACATTAGAAATTATTATTAACAGTAAGCATGAATGTGAACAAGTCCATGCTTTAGAAGAGGGCTTTGTAGGAAATGGGGAAAAAACCTCAGTTCATCAGTGCAACTTAGGATGCAAAAATAAATACACATAGTCACTCCAATGGCTGGTGAACACTTCAGAAGCACTTGTGTAAGAAAACACTGAAATGGTAGTAAATAGTCTTCTCTATTGTCTAAAATAAGGAAAACACTCTAATAAACAAGAGAGTCCTGTCTAATAAACAGTAGATGAGTACAGCTGAACAGGCTATGATCAAGACAAGATGAACAAGACAAATGGCCAACTGAGAACAACATACTGGGGAAGCACACTGTGTGCACAAATGCTGCTTCTCTAAATTTTCCAGCCTCTGCAAGATATACTGCTTAATAGACAGCAGCTGCATATCAAATAAAAAACTTATGATGGAGCTGTTTTGCAGTAAAATTCAAACTGACAGAAAGCACATGCTTAAAAATAAAAGGACATAACAACTAATTACACTAGCACATCTGCAAATTCTAACGTGCAGCTAAAATAAGCAGACATAGCCAAAAAGACACTGCCTGCAAATTCTGAGATTAATTTGGTAAACTTTACCCTAAACCATACATGTGACAAAAGACAAAAAATACTGTTGTGCAACATGTACCTACAGTGAACTCCTTTGGAATTACTAATGTATTACACTTTTAAAGGTTGTTATGAAAAAGATAGTAATATCACCATCACAGATACAGTGAACTCCTTCCAGGACTCCCAGGCAATTGATGGTGCACATCCCTTTTGCTCCGATACGAGCAAAACCAGAACACGGTTCTGAAGCTGCAGTTCTTCACTGGCCTTCCCTACTTCTCTTTATGTATTCCATAGTTAAGCACTACTGAAACTACTAGAAGTACTAATAGACTCAAAGTGTTCATAAAAGAGCTTGGTATGAACTTATTTTCTTGGTGGTGTTTTTGCCTTTTTCAAAATAATTTAAAAAATCCTCAGAATGCCAACATCAAAATTCACACGCGTTGACATTACACAATTCTCCAAAGGATGTCAGACTGACATGGAACATTCCATATTTTTCCAGTCTCTACTGCAAGTCCTAAGAACAGGAAAAAGAGAGCACTAAACACTACCAGACACTGTTTTGTCATCCTTTCTCAACTTAAAGTTACTGTATAGTATTATACACATTTTCTTATTTAAGACATGTATGAGCTTCATCTTCTAAAGAACAGCTGTATATTTGAAAGGAAGTCTATTCACTCTTCAAATGATTATAGAACATACAGTTCTATTCCACTGCATACTTCTATGCAAATATAAATTGTAGCACAAATATATCATAATTATGACATGAACCATCACACTGTCAGATGACCCAAAAAAGAACAATGTACACAGGAATTTATATTGCTGCTGCATAAACAGACTGACACGTATTTCTGGCATTGCCTAATACCCCCACTGCTGTTTGTTTTGACAAAGTATAGTTGCTTTGAGTCCCATAAGCTGCCTAATAAAGAACACTTGAATGTCCTTAGTTTCAGTTGAGACTGCCAGAAGACATGTCCTTTCTAGTTTTAAGACTTACCTTCAACAGTAGACAATTTGTGATTTCCTCAAGCAGTTCAAAAGGAGAGAAACTACTCGCAATTTTATCATCTCAAAAAAGTTTGAGATCTCATAATTTCTTCCTTGGCATTAGATGAATGTACAGAAAGAATTAAAGGAAAAAGGAAAAATCCTAAGAAACTTTTCTACTTATCCACAAAGCTGCATTACTTTTCTGTAAATAAGGAGAAGACTCAGAAAATCAGAACAAAGTTGTGCTCTGCTTCTGGCTGCCATCAAAATAATAAACATCCAACTCTGAGGACTGACAAGAATGGGACTCAAGCATTTTAAAGCACTTACAAGAATCAGAGAGCGCTGAATATACTAGGTAAATGTCCCCTGTTGATTAGAACATACTGACAAACACCCATACTCAATACTAAACTGAAATGTTCACTGAATAAAGTAATTTTCTGAATCAACTGAATCATTCCAAATATGACACTATTGCTGCAAGAAATACTCTCAACAAAAAGCTACACTGAGGAAGTTTTTTGTTCTTTTTCAGTAATACATTCTCTGAGGGGTTTTTTTGTCCACAAACTCCATGATTTTTTCAAGAAACAGCATTTCTTCTCTATCAACCTTCAGAACTGACCTTCAACCTTTAGTATTTTAGAGGCCACAACATAAACATCCTTCCAAAAGTTGGATCAACTGGTGCCTAGCTGTCAAGCCCATACATTTCTGATGTCCCAGCTGACAGCCACTTGGTTCCTTGTGAGATCTCAGTCCAGGAACATTACAGCTTTCAGAGAGCAGGTTCTCTTCATGGTTATTACAAGCATAATTTATAGATTCCACAGATTGTACATGATGAACCAGTAAATGCTATACAACAGGAAAGACAGTATTTAACTTAGGGAAAAACTTGAAAGAAACAGCAGTAATCCCTTAAAGTCTATTAACATAAGCTGTGTATTAGGGATGATTTACAGACAAAGAACTGTCAATTTGCTTGGAATTTGCTCAAGAAAAAAAAGTTATTCCATAATAAAATGCAACACCACTCGAGTGCATAAGGGATCATGGATTACAGGCAACAACATGATCAGAAAGCTTATTTAAAAGATAGATATAAAAAAGCAACCTATTTTAAAATCAAAGAAAATATTAAATACTATTAAAGTAGTATCTTCTGGCAATACAAGGATGAAGATGCAACTGTTGCAAGTTTAGGAACATCTCTGCCAGAAAGGCGTGAGTGGAATTTCTGTTTAGTCTCCAAGTAATATTTTGGTTTACTGTTGACGTTCTGTTCTGTAGCCTGCACATCAAACAACCCACTCAAAAATCCGAGAAGCTGAAGAGAGCATGAGAGGAACTGGGGAAAGTGCAGGCCATTAGGGTTGGGAAACCAATGGACTCTGAGATAAGTTTCCATCGTGTTATTTACACTACCTAAAACCCACAATTATTCCAAATGATGCATGCATGATAACAACAAATACACAGTCTTAAACAAAACAATCAAAGAAAACCTAAATATCTAAGCTTAACAGGGTATTTCATAGTCATTTCATTTTAAACCTAAGGGTTTAGGCAGCACAGAGTGACTAATATCCCAAATATATTTGGAAGTTCCCAGCAAGCACATTTTTGTACCTATTAAGTCACACCAGTTTAGTGGGACACAGTCAGAATTATGAAATAGTTCAAGGGTAGAGTTAAAATTGAACTGACATGTTTTAACCATTAAATCCAGCCTTCCAAGAAAACAGTTACACACACTTTAACAACAATAAATCCAGAAGAAACAACAAACAACCAACACAAATTATGCTTTGCCTGTTCCGCGTAATAAATCAGGCTGCTTTCAACCTTTCCATATCTCTGGCATGTGCTAATGGAAAAGAGAAAAATCAACCTAGAGTGTGTAAAGAAAAATATTTTTCTTTTCACCTACTGAAATTAATTTCCAGTAACTATCAAGCAACCTGGATTTTCTTACCTGGAAAAATAAAACATATTTCAAGCATTAAGAGAATCAGTTTTATGAAATAACTTTATCCTGTGTTCTCAAAAACCCCAACAACTTAAGAGAATGTAAGTAAAGTAATATTAAAATATGGTTACATCACAGTCTTGCGTTTCAGAGCATTGAAAGGTTTTTTGTGCTCAAATTAGCTGTTTTTCCAACTAGAGCTAAATACCCACCAGAATGAGAATATATATATTATATATTATAAGCTACAATGTATCAACCTCCTTTCCTATTTCTCCTTATACATAAGATGGTTTATAACT